AAAACTTCTCAGCAAATATTTCTCTTTAAATGAATAATTATAATAAGTTAAGTACTAACAGAAATAAGAAATTTTGATGAATATGATGATTGTACAAATTTGATCAATCAATTAAATTTTTAATATGAAGAAGTAAAAATGATTATTTAATATAAGTGTAAAGACATTCTTCAAAAATATATATCTCTTTTAAGATTGATATAAATAAGTTAAGAACAAATATAGATGAAAAACTTTGATGAAAGAAATTGATTCAACAATCAAAATTTTTGTTATGAAGAAATAAATGAAATGAAAATAAAAATATAATCTTAAAGAAGATTTTTCACAAATACTTTTCACAAGGAAGCTTCTTCATGGTTGTTGTAATCAAAACGGAAAAGTTCTACCCCAACAGGTTGACCCAACCGAACTTTCGCTTGTCAACCAAACGATCAAACTAGTCGTTGTACAACGGTTAAAAAATTTGACTGTTGACGAATCAGACGTTTGCCTGGTCAACCGGACGTTTGGTTGACTCTTTTTTTTATTATTATTTAAGAATCGTTATCCAAATTCAAGTATACCTTTAAAAAATCAATCTCACTTTTAATTAAAACATTTTGTGAAATAACTTTTTCCTGCACAAAATGATTTTTGAGCTATTGTTTATTACTAAAGATCAAAATGTTACATCTTTGAATATGATCTAAAATGTCTAGTCATTGAACTTGCTTCGAAGTTTATTTCATATTTGGCTCTTGAACTTAATGTATTGATCTTTCTTTGATGTCGTTTCTTATACTCTTGATCATAATCTTTCTTGGCATCTTGATCTTTCTTGGTATTTATCTTTTAGGCTCTCATCTCGAATGATCTGACTTGAATGCTTAACTTTCATTTTGATCTTCAATTCAAGTTCGATATATAATGCTTGATTGATTTTAACATCAAACTATCATCACTCAAATAAATTGTTAAGAAACCATATTAATCTTATTTGTTATGATCAAAACATACATTAAACACAATAAATAATTAATATATAATCAAGTTGCATGAAATTTTTAAAATTAGATAAATATTAAACATAAACTATGTCGTTCATCCTAACAACCAATTACTTAGCTAATCATATTTGAGAAAATAAATAATAGAAAAAAAATCATCATATTCAATACAAAGAATAAAGAAAAGAATCCTATTTGTTGTTTTTCCTTGGCACCCAATTCCCAACAATGGATTGTCAGTCATCTCTTCCAAGCTCGTATATCTTCCAATCAATTGTGTTCTTCAACCTTCAAATCCCAAATTTAAATACAAATATTGAGGATTCAATGCATTCGGATGTGTAATTATGCCTCAAAATTGTACTTCTAGCCTACCCCAATTATGAAATAAAATATTCATATTATAGACCTAAATTAGAATTTCAAAAGTATTAGGACCCATAATTGAAGTCCAAGTATAATATCTCAGATTGCTAAAGTTAAACTTTCTTTCAGTGACCGGGTCATTGTTTCCTCTTTTAATTCAGATTGAGTCCTTAAATTTTGCAACTGAGATCCTTCAACTTTCAAATTCAACTCCTTGGTCCACAACTTTCAAAATATTCCCAACTTTACTCCTTTTTGATCAATTATTGCCTATAATCACCTTCCTAATAATAATGTTATATATCAAGAAGCAAACTAACTTTGGTCTGCGATGTAAAACAATGAAATATATTTGTTTTCTGGACTTGAATTAATCATACAACTGAAATATACCCTTTCAAACCCTCATTAAAAACTAGGGCCATCTGATGAGAGTCAACGCTTCTATTCGCAACCAATGGCTTCAAAATTACTGGAAACTTCAGCCCCTCTGTTTCATAAAAGAATGCAGGATTTTCAACAAAAATCTGCTTCGGAATCCCAATCGAAATTTCAGATTCTTGGATCATGGTAATCTGATTGGGAAGCCGGTCTATGGAGTCAAGAAGGTCGACGACGATAACATCAGGGTCCGGGAAGAGAATTCTTGCAGTTGTTTTCTGGGCCTTAAATTTTGTGGATGTTGCAATGAAATGGAGCTTCATCGATTAATGGCTTGCTGAGGTCGATTGGAATCAGATCGATGCCCAGTTTCTTAGATTGAATAATAAGCGATGATTGAATGACAATGTGCACTTTCTTTGGTTCCAATGCGTAGCCTACGCGATACCTGGTAACATTTTCTTCTGCCATGGAATGGATAGAAAGAATCACTAGAAGCAGACAATGAGCTAGGGTTTAAGGAGGGGATTTAGGAATTAGAAAATGCCCACGTTACATTTAGAGGGGCCCGGCTGGAAATCCATCTTCGTTATGGAAGGGTGAAGCCCTGTTTGACCCTATTTTTAAGGGAAAATATATTTAAAATAGAGATTTTTTTAGAGACAGTATAATTTTAAAAAGAAAAAAAGAAAAGAAAAAGGTTACATGTATAATTATATTAGGGAAAAATCTATCGTTGAAAATGAACTTTGAAAAAATAAGGGTGCATTTGATTTGTATTTCTGTTTTTTGTTTTCAATTTTGAATTTATTTTCTATTTTTTGTTTTGAGGGATAATTTTAAAGTTACATAAAAAGTGTTTGTTTTGTCATTTTGAAAAATTGTTTCTCAAAACAAAAAATTAGAAAACGCATTTGATTTAAAAATTTTAGAAATAATTTTATGACATTTTGGAAGAGCATGGAAAGAGAAAGTGAGACGGAAGGGGGGGGGGGGGGGGGTGTTTTTTGTTTATAAACAATAGAGTGTCAAGCGGGGGGGTATTTGTATTTGGGTAAATTTTGTGTGATTTTATGGATTATTTTAATTTGAAAAATTTTTAAGCTCATTTTCCTTGTTTTGAGTTTTTTGAGCGTTTGAAAATAATCTCCCGTTTGTTTCCTATTATTTGCCCATTAAAATAAAAAATATGACCGTTATCCATCACATTAAACTACCATATTTAACTTTTTATCTCTTGTGTGGACCGTAATGGCCATATTTTTCATTCTCATTTGCACATTAATGTGTACCAAACAGGGTCTCAAAACGTCAAAAAGTCGTTTTGAGTTTTGTATTATAAAATTTTCCTTTTTTTGAAAATCTTATTTTTGAAAATAACATACCAAATATGTTTAGAGTATTTTCAAAAGCAGGAAATTGAAAATGATCTCAAAATAACAAACCAAACGCACTATAAAATTTTGAATAAAAATAGAACCAAGCATAGATGAACAGTTTTTTTTAAATTTTTTTTTTAAGGTTAAAGGATGCACCAAACTTATCTACATTACATAACCCCTCTTTGGTAGGGATTAAAATTTATACACTAATATAAATCAAAATTAACAATTAATTTTAATTATATATTTTATGAGATCCACAATTTTTTAACACATTTCATTAACTTTTATGAAAATCTATTAAAAAGACTATTTTAATCACTACCAAACAGAGACATAATATCCGTGGATAGGTAAGAAATAATAAACTCATTTTTGGTTCGGTTAAAAATTTGGATTAAAATTTTAATTAAAGTTAGCAATTAATTTTTAATCATATATTTTTTGGTATTCAAAACTTTTCAACTTCACATTTAATCAACTATTATCAAATTTATCTAAACTAAAAATGACCTTAGTTACTATTATGTCGTCGTATTTTTCCTTTCGTTATCCTTGATCCATCTACTTAGCCCCCTATTTCGTATGGATTAAAATCTAGATTTTAACATAAGTAAAAATCAATAACTAATTTTAACCATGCATTTCATGGGTCTCACAATTCAATTGTACAGTTCATCAACTTTTATCAAAATCTACTAAAAATCTAATATTAAATCCGCCAAATAGGGCATAATTTGCATTATTCTGTTTTAAAATTTTATTAATTCTTTTTTTCCAATATTAATTCAATAATACTGTATAATCATTTTAAAAAATTATGATCATTTAAAACCTCAGAATGTAAATGAGAGGTGACAATTCTCCAATTACTTGAATGAACGTTAATCTATCACTGCTCCTATCAAATAAAGCGGGAATCTTGAATGCCTAGTGAGTTTTTCATTGATTATATTCTCTACATAATCTGCAATGAAGTTATGTAATAAAATCTAGGATGCTAAAGTGCTTAATTTGGTTGAGTTTTGTAATTGATGGTCAAGAATGAAAGGTCTTAAAAGTGGTATTAGAAATAAGTAGTGGGGATCTTTTATCTTCTTGGAATATAGTCAACATAAAGGAATTTTATTCCAAAGCGTTCGGCTTGTTATGTTATTAAGTGGATTAGCATTTCATTTAGTCATTTTTTGAGCCCATAATGGGATAGGCCGCCTTTTGTGTGTGTGTGAACACATATGAAGGCCCCTACTCTCACTCTACCTAATAAAGCATTGGCCCATTGAGTTCTATATATACATTTTTTGTGCCCTTTCTCCTCTTAATTTTGATGAATGGTATCGGTTTCAAGGGTTTCAAGAGGGTGGGAAGTAGTTTTCTCTATAGTTAACTCTATGGAAAATCAATCACAAGCTATTGGAAATATGATTTCTCTTTGTTATTGTTGAATACATGCGAGGACTTTCATTCTATTTATATATATATATATATATATATATATATATATATATATATATATATATATATATGCGTGTCTTGGTAACCCTGTGAAGCACTTTATATACGCCTTAATCATGTTACCAATAAGTGAGACAAGAATATGATTCTAAAAGTTGTTTGATTCTAGGAGAATAACTTATTTGCTTGTGATACGAACATTGACACATCCCAGTTTAATTTAGATAATATTATTCGCCTAACAAAGAAGCTTCAAAAGATCATATATCAATTTTCATTCTCGAAAAATATAAAAGAAATGGGTCTATACCCCAATGTTTGCCATAAAAGGTCAAGCTATAACAAATAAGAAGCTATACGAGTAATAAAATATATGGTTCAAAAATTGATGAACCCATAATGTGTGAAACATAAAATTAATTGTATGTATTTTGAAAAATGTTATCTTTTATTCTTTCCCCAATCCAAATCCCTGGGATTGTCGCCATTTAGATACTGTACGGAGAAGCAAGGTCGACATTACAGAATCATGGTGAAAACAAAAATATTGAGTATAGCTCAGCTGCACAAACTCCAGCAATTCGCAAATCTTTTAACAATTAACATGCTCAAGAGGGGGTGAATAAACTTCAATAAAGATTTACTTCACACATCGTGCATATGTCCATTATTCACTTTCAGGCGCTCAATGACATGGAAATAACTGAAGACAGCTTAAATTTGTGCACTTTGGTAGAATTCTGAGGCTTAAATACCACCTCAGTGCTCGAACTCACCGTTGCTTTTTTCCACTCTGAAGAAGCAGCCCCTTCACAGCGATAATCACGCAGAGAGTACAAAACTAGGAGTGTGGAACAAGCTGTATTAAGGCGGACAAGAAAGGCACTGTCAGATAATGCATCAATAGACATGCACGCAACTCTTGCTAAAATGCAAACCTAAATCTTTCTGGAAAAAAAAAAAAAAAAAATGTCAAATCGCATTCCTGCAAAGGGAAATGTATAACTAAGTTGTTCATGAGTCTTCTGTCCTTTACGTCCATAAATTTTAATGGTATCTAATAAATATAGAGGCCGGAAGAGAATGCAGCGTAAAGCCATGTTGAAGGATAGGAAAGAAATGACGAATGTTTAGACCCCACACGTTTCACTTCTCTTTTGTTCTGCACGAATCTTTACCGAGAAAACTCCCAGGCCAATAGCGAATATTGTGCAAATTATTTAACATACAGGCACATATATTTGTTTAACAATTTATATTCACTCACAAAGTTCAGAGGAAAAGCATGTATTCTAAACTCAAATGTAAAATATGAACAATAGTAAGTGGGGATACCAAAATCAAACTTGCTTATCTTCTGCACAATCAGGCTTCTAACTTTTGATCTCCTGATACTTATTAACGTCAGAAGATCATCTTGTTTGCCTTTGAATTCGATGAATTCTCCCAGGATATACTTGTTTTCTTTAAGCTCTAACCTGCATTGTAAGGCAACTTGCATAATCTCAAAGCAAGCAATGATAAGAATACTCGTCGGACATAATATCAATATAAATGAGATTATTCATTTTTGTGATGGTCAAAAGGCACAGTAGACCAAGAAGTAGAACTATACACCTATTGAACCGAAGAATTTGACCCATTAATGAAGCATAAAAGCATTCCTTCTTTGTTATCTTTCCCAAGTCCCAACTGCATATTTGCTTCTTAGAGACTGTTGATAATTCACATGCCTTTCTTTTTATAAAACAGCCATTTTTATTTTTATTTATTTTTAATCAATGTGGATTTTCATTTTTCTTGGGGCTATCAGTGGAAAAAAGTAATTACTCTATTCAAGATAATCTTAAAGCTATTCTTTTATGTTCTCTCTTCCTCTTATGTAATAACTTCATTCTTGTTTAAAAACTCGAAAAATGCATTCTCCCACAGGACTATCAAGCAGCATAGCATTGGAGATTCTTTAGTATCTAATATTGACTAAAAGCAATTGCAGAGCAATCCACTTGTACTTGAGACAACATTAAACTCCTATTCCTGCTTCACCATCCAGATTTAAGTGAAACACCAACACTTTATCAATCTTACCATTATCTACATGGAAACTGATCAGGACATAACATAACGTACCAATAAATCAAACAATCAAAGATAAAACCGTAACAGACCTATCCAACATTGGAGCTGTGCTCAGGGTTGAACAAAGCTTCTCATTTAATGATTCCTGCATGTCTTTCTTTGCACTGCAAAATGCACCTTTGATCCATCCAGAAAGCGTATATTTTTGCTTGGGTTTTAACTGTTTCCACTGGTCATATGTAATGACCTCAGGTGGAAAAACGTTTGAGTTAATGGCCCTGAACGAGCAGCAGACTTAGAAACACGGACAACAACGAAATTTTAAATAACCAAGAATGAAGTTTTACCAGACAAATAAATAGTAGAAACAGTTTCGCTCAAACTACCATCTTCACATAGTAAAAAATAAGTGATTTATTGTAATAATTATACTTCAGATTTTTAGTGCAATAGACTGCAGAGTAAAATATTAACCGGTCATTTTATTCCATACTGCACTTAATCTAAAAAATAAAGCATCATTCAATACAATAATCCAACGGCTAAGACCTAGCATGGACAACTGATACCCTAAACAATATTTTCAAATTGCTTGTTCAATAATGCCACTTCATGACTGATACAGTACCCCGGCTTAGGCATACAGATAGTTTAGTAACTCTACTCATACGATCATGACCATTATTAGCTTGGGTACTGGTATGTGGTTTTGAGATTATTTTTCGTCAAACCGGTATGAGATTAAGAGTTCTACAATACCATGTTTATAAAATCAGTATTAGAAATGACATTTAGAAAAAAGTCAAAAGAAAGTTGTCGAGTAGATGCAAATTGATGCCATTAAATTTGTTGTAGCTTATTTTTACTTAAACATTCTAAACTTAATAAGAAATGGTTCTTGGCATAAAAAGTTCCTTCGCAATGATACACTGAATCCGATAAGAGTATATAGATATTATCAGTTTAATTATTCAAAACAAGCTTATAGCTAGTAATAAACATATAACCCTTATAATTCATGTCATGAAAACTGCATTCATCACCGACTCAAGGTAAAAAGGAAGTGGTGGAAACATGAAGATATAGTCTTCAAGATTTGTACGAGTAATTAACAATATTAGATTTAAATTACTAGGCAGATGAAAAAGTATTGTTCCAATGCATACCTAAAATTTGGATTGGGACATATAACTTTGCCAGAAAGATATCCTTCTGGGAGAACAACTCCCCTCCGTTGAAGATATGCTTCAAGAATGGGAACTAGCAGTTTTGGTTTAACCGTCTGAATGGGAGAACAACACTAACATAAGCAATGACTGTAGCAAGTTGGATCTATTAGCTGCTTTTAAGGGGAGCAGGATTATGGGGATGGGATCAACGGGTGAAAGTTAACAAATATGATTATCTGCATTTCACAATTAATTCAAATTTAACATAGTCTTTTTTAACTGACAGTTGGGCATGGACAATTCCTCCTCCCAGTTGGCTCAAATTTTGCATTGCACAATAATAAATAAAACACCATATTTATGCTTTGTAAATTTGTTCATCTTATAGACATTTTAAGACAGCACACAAATAGTGACACAACATAACTTACATTTAAAAAAAAAAAAAATAATGAACACTCTTGTCCAGAAATTAACTTACAGGATCTGGAAGACACTTAGCTTTCTTGCCAAGTCCTTCAACGCAAACCCACTTTCCATTCTTGTTAATGGATACAAATCCCCGTACATTCATTACAGAAATCACCAGTGCCTCCCTGCAGAAATTATAACCAAACAAAACAGCACCACCAATCCCTTATTACTGATTTTCTCGAGTTAATTGTTCCAATGGTCACTGAACTTAGGTCTATGTCCCTAATTGATCACTGAAGTTTAAAATGTCGAGTTTTGGTCACTGAACTTAGATCCATGTCTTCGATTGCTCACTGAAATTTAAAATGTCGAGTTTTGGCCACTGAACTTTGAAAAATATTATACATTACTTACTGAACTTTGAAAAATGTTACATTATTCACTAAATTTTGAAAAAATATTATAAATTATTCATTGCAAACTCAATATTTTTCAAAATTCAAAAGTTATATTAGTGAGTAACGTACGGCATATTCCAAAGTTCAATGATTAAAATTCGACATTTTAAACTTGTGTGAGCAATCTAAAATATGGACATAAGTTGAGTGAAAAATCGAAAAAATGGACCTAAATTCAATGATCAAAACTCAACATTTAAGCTTCCGTGACAAATCAAAAATATGGATCTAAGTTCAGTGACCATTGGAACAATTAACTCGATTTTCTCTTCAATCTTGTTAAAATAAACGAACAAGTTTGCGATACTCCATATAATACAATTATATAGTAATATTAGTAAATGAACTAAATACCACTTAGTAACAAGAACGATATCAATATTCTGTCGAAAGCCGGAATCAGCGTCAGGAATTTGAAGCCCAACGTAGACTTTACTCCCGTAGTAAAGCTGTTCCAGTCTGCAAAAATAAAAAGAAAAAGAATCAGAAGAGAAATTCTGATTATTTTTACAGAAGAATAATCAAAACAATAAAAGATTAAATTATACCTCTTGGCGACAGCGATGAGGACATTAAAACGGGAGGTATCGAGATGGATGGGGTACAAGAAAAGCTCAAGCAAACAGAACAGGACCAAACCGCAAATCAGCTCCACCCACATATTGTCTTCTTTTGTTTAATTTTAGTGGATTATACAAAGATTATATGTATAGAAGAGGATAAATTAATTTAGATTCTTAATCCCTAAGTTTATTTTTGTTCATGAAATTTCATGGAAATGGGAAGAGGAATTTGTATCATACTGTAGCCTGTAGGTCGTCATTCTCGTTTTCCTTTTCTCCGTGTTGCTTTTTCTTGAAAGAATAATAGTATCTGGGATAAATAGTCTTAAACCACAAGAATGGATGATTATAATTAGATATAATTAAATGAATAATTTGATATTGCATTCAAACGAATTTATCATCTATTGTCACGTGAATTTGGACGTTTGACTGTAGTGGTGTTGAATAACATTAATCTTCTTGAAAATGTCAATGTATTAGACATTAAATTCAATTTCATAAATCACTCAACCTTGTCTAAATATTACTTTGATACACAAATTTTATATTGTTTCATTATCACGGTTGAACTTTAAGTAGTGCTTCAATCACCATTGCATAGCGATCGTTTGAATCTCATTAAATTACATTCCATTTATTTTTCTGTCTTCTATTTTCAACTATATAATCTTTCATAAAATCATATTACACGTAAATCGAAAACTTTTCTTTCTTTTTCATCCATTCATTTTTCAAAAAAATACTATTCTCCTCATTTTCATTTCCAAAAAATGAGGGTCAAACAGGGGCTAATCACTCGTTCAATTTTAAACAAATTTGTTTATGCCATGGGCTATGACGACAAATGAATTAAAAAATTGGATGGGTAATTAATATGGTGTAACGAAATAACTTTTCAAGTTCAGAGATATTAATACTATTTAAAATTATCGTATGAGGCTAGAGATGGAAATGGGCAGAGCTGGCTAGGCTCTATCCTTAAACACACGAGCTAAGCTTAAGCTCGGCTCATGCTCAAGAGGCGAGCTTGATTGGGCCCATGAGTTCGCATTTTTTTTTATTTTGAAGATTTTCAAATTTTTCTTCAAATTTTTTACAGGCCCACGAGCTAAGCTAGTGGGCTCGTGAACTTTTGGCTCGTTAGCACGGCCCACGAGCCCTCGCAAGCTCGTGCTCAAGCTTTTTAGAGATAATAATACTACTTAAAATTATCGATGAGGCTAGAGATGGCAATGGGCCGAGCCGAGCTCACATATTTTTTATTTTTTTTGAAAATTTTCAAATTTTTCTTCAAAATTTTTACGAGCCCACTAGGTCTCGTGAACTTTTGGCTCGTGAGCACGGCCCATGAGCCTCTCGCAAGCTCGTGCTCAAGCTCTTCAAAGATAATAATACTACTCAAAATTATCATACGAGGCTAGAGATGGTAATGGGCCAAGTTGGCTTGGCTTGACCCTTAAACACACGAGTCGAGCTCGTGGCTCGTTAATAACGAGTCGATCTCGAGCTTGGCTCATGCTCAAGGGGTGAGCTCGGCTCGACCCACGAACTCGCATTTTTTTTTAAAATTTTCAAATTTTTCTTCACATTTTTTACAAGCCCACAAGCCACTCGCAAGCTTGAGCTCGTCATTTGACGAGCCCGAGCCAAGCGGCCAAGTCGACGAGTCGCTCGGCCCATTTGACATCCCTATATGAGGGGGAGGATTAGCTTTTTAGTTAGGGCTCAGGATATGAATGGAATAGAGAGGAAAGCAGTTCAATATCAGAGTATTCATAAATAATATAATCATAGATCATCAACAAAACCTTAAACATGACAACTCCATACTTAATCTTCGTTCATGGAATGAATACGGGTATCTGCGTTCGGATCTTAATCCCAATTAGTGATTTAGCGGTTGTCAATCTAACATTTGGATTACACCTAAGTGAAGCTTTAGCGTGAAGTTGTGTATTAATTGATAAAATTAACCTTAGGAATTTTTTTAAAAAAAAGGTAGTCGTTTATACTTTTTATTTTTGTTAAAATAATATCTTTCGAAGAGAAAAAAATGTCAACGGATTCATTCTAAACATTGTGTTATACACTTGTTCTCTTACTTCTTTCTTTTTTTCCATTTTTTTTTTTTTTTTTACCAATTATTTTGAAGCAAATAGGATTACGAAGTGAAACAATTCAAATAAAGCTCCAGGATCTCACTAGAGAGGCACTGGTTGTAACCATTTGCAGCGGTGTTGCCTGTAGGAAGGAGGTGGGGGCTTTGTGGAGCCCTCGAAGTAGCTGAATTTTATTTATTTATTTTTAAAGAAAAAACATAGATACATGTACGCTAAATCATAGAGGCAGACATCCGAAAATGAATTTTGCTGAGTTAACGGGGATGGGACCCACCTATATAAAAAACTACAAAAAATCCCACCCATCCTCTGGTGGCTGGTGCCGTGAATGTTCGATACGGGTTTTGCAAATTCGTACCTGTACATGAAGCACGACCACCTCTCTCGGAAAATATGGATAAAAATACCCTAAAACTATAAGTGCATATATGAAATAAGATGGGCACTCACACCTTATACCATAGTTTTAAATACGCATGTCACGTTACCGAAAATTGTGATGGCTTCATTTAGTAAAGAGAAACAAATCTAAAATTATTTTATAATCCTTCACATCTTTATCATTTTAAATCATTTGTAACTTAGTAACGTAAAACAAAAAACTTTGCAGGCAAAAACATTTTTTGCGCCCTCGGTATCGTACCCTAAACTATTGGTATAATTACCTGTCCAAATAGATTTCACGTGGGTATTAACATCTACACATGTATGGTTTGCTTTAAGTAAATCTTATTTGCCTTTGTAAAACCATCAGATTCCTATTCAAAGCACTGAGAAAAGAAAGGCAGTTTGCAAAACATAAATGACAAGTGTTTAAAAGAACACAGGAAGCCATGCAATACAAAAGATTAACCCGTAGCATTTATCATTGAGTTTGCAAAAGACTACTACATAATACTCGGATGAACTACATTACAAACATGTTTGCCAATATTGATACTAGGTAGCTAATAAAATCAAAACCCTATGTATCAATGGAAGAAAGTAGTTTTGGATGTGTACTTGAACAAAGGAGTGAAAATTGGGTCGAGTGACTCGTCGGCTCGTTTGCTCGAGTCCCCTGGGCTTGGTTTATGAGCTGCTCAAGCTCGTCTAGAACCAGCTCAAAGGCAAGCCCCAGCCCCAAAAAAATTGGACGGGCAGAGCCCAATGAGGGCTCATGGCTCTTTCGCAGTAACGAGCCTAGAAGCTCGGCTCGTGTGAAAATGTGATCATTGGGGTCAAAAGAATAACTAAGCCCAACGGTCACATTGTTTTTATTTTATTATCATTATTGAAAAATCTATAAATGTCCAACATTTCAATTCATTTTTTCACACCAATCTTCTATGATCGATCTTTCATTTTTTAAAATCCAAACAAATTACGAAATATTGTGAATACTTCAAATTAGTTTCCATGGGTCATACAATAGATGGAGTGCAAGAATCTAAAACCGTATGCAAATATTATCAAACAAAATTGGCATGGCAAAGGGAAGATGGAACTACCCACCTTAACCAGCATTACAAAAAAAATTTCGATCAAACATGGAGTTATTGGTCAAACAATTCGGGAGAAAAATGTTGTGAAGGAATAGTCAACTTTGTAGTCGGAGATGAGCTGTCACTAAGTATAGTGGATAACAAACATTTCACAAGATCTTCAATCAAAGTACGTTGCGGTAAGTGAAAACACTTTTTTTTCTGATTGCATTGATTATTTCATTATGAACAAAATATGCTAATAAATGATTTACAAAATTATGAGGGTGTTTTGTCTTTTACAGATGAGCAATGGGAATGAATTAATAAAAATTGTTATATAGTTGCAGCTATTCACTACATAGATCCAATATGGGTAATGCATAAAAAAATTAATTGAGTTTGCTCACAATGCCAAAAATATAATTATCCTAACTAAACTAAAAAAAGCACTAGATGTGACACTGTTTTTATGGAGCCATGCTAGTTAATGTTTGCTTCTTCTTCTTTTTTGTCTCTTCACTACGAAAAGAAAAGAGGGAGTTTGTGTGGGGCACTATTTCTATGGATGCGTGCCAGTTGTGTGCTGACAGTTGAGATTATAAGAGAGAGAGAGAGACAACCCCACAAGGTTTGGGAGCAAAATGATTTACCAGTAGTTCACACCCGCTTCGCATAAAATCAAAATCCAACCCTAATTTGTCATTCGATATCGTCGACGTCACCGGTGACTTTCCATCCGGGCCATGTGGGTACAACTCTAGCATCAACATTTTCCCCAAATATTGAGTTACTCATCATTACTACACTGCCAGGTTCACACGAATCCATTCGAGGCATAATTTCACATCCAATCCCCTCGACATCACCAGCGAGTCTCCATCTTGGCAATGGTTGTAGAACTCCGACGTGGGCATTTTCCGGAACTCGCAACAAAGTCATCATTGCCCGAGTATAATATAGGAAGGTATGATTGCATTTATTCAGCAATTTATAATTTTTTAATTTCATATTCTAAAAAGGTTAGGACAGAAATATAATGTTATCAATGACCGGATCTCAATCCCGATTATGCTATTTCAAATAATTTTGTGATCATTCAAATATCTGAAATTTAGGTATTAGTGAAGGGTACTAAGTAATTTTGTGGTATCTCAAAAGTTTAGTAAATAAAGTAGATGATATATACCATTCAGAACATGTGAAAATGGATTGTCATGTTGAAATCATTATTTTGTATAAATATGAAATTTTGGATTGGTTATGTTCTGTTGAAATTGGCTCCTAATTTTGTCATAGGAGAATAAATGTTGGAAGATGATTTTTTGAAAGAATCTGAAAATGTGAACGTGGAATACAATATGCACTAGCTGAAGGTGAAACATAATTCGTACCATGTAATTGTGCCAGAGGTGAGTATGAAATTCAATGACAAAAAATTGGTCTACGATTTTTACAAAGGATATGTTTACAAAGTAGGTTTCTAGGTGAGTATAAGGAACTTGAAAAAGGACGATGAAGGAGTCGAGATTGTATCGATGCAATTGACAATTAAGTGCACATGTGAAACAGAAACTTGAAGTGAATGATGGCACGAATTTCATTACACAAAGTTTCAATTCTGCAGTTGTCGAAACATGTGGATATGAAATTATAAGTTAAATGGAAAAGATTGTGGAAACTACGTTGAGCAAGTGAGGAGATTAAGGTTTGGAGATAGAGATACAACAACAA